CTCCAGAGAAATGCCACTAGGGTAATTGGAATATGAGTATATAAATATTAAATGGGGGATTTAACTAGTTAAGTGCCCATGTAAACTTTAAGCGAATTCCATAGGTTCTGGTCCACCGCTGAAGCAGGATCTAAAATTATGCGTTCAGTCAGCGGAGTTATCATTGCAAGCAAATTTATTCCAACATATTACCAGCTTAGCTGCAGCTGGATAAGACTTGTTCAGTCGCAGATATATAGGTGTTCTGGGAGGAAAAACATATCCTATATAAACATATCCTATCGAATTTACTGCCCCTAACGCGAGGATTCCGACCTTGTCCACCGCTCATGTTATGTCAGTGTTCCGCGTAGGATCAGACATCTCTCCATTTCATAAGACTCCAAGGACTGCATGTCTAATAAGTTAGGGGCAGGCAAGGCAATACGATAGACTTCTCTTTGCGTAGTGCTTCATTGATTCACACAGTCAGCGTTCCGACTGTACTCTTGTTTACTAACAGAAAGAACTGAATTCCATAATCGTCCCCTCATTGAACAGTCAGTAGGCCACCACAGTCACTATTTAAAAGAACGGCAAATACAAGCGGCACATCTATAATCGGTAACTGCGCATATTTATAGCATACACCGTTTTCCAACTTACATTGATTAACCACATAATTGATGTGTACAATTTCAGCAACCTCCATCTCCTAAGTAGTTATTGAGGAATATAAGTTTGGCAGGAAAACTGCCTAACCACTGCATTTGTCTTAACCACCAGCGCGTACCGGACGCCCAATAACGCCTTGTGTGAGTCCCCAAAGGAAGAAAACGACAAGTGTGCAACAACAGAAGTCTTTTAGTGTAATAGGTACAACGTATTTAGGACATCAAACCGTGCAACACGATGTCCATTGAGTCAACCAGCCCCTCTCCTGTAATAGTTGCCGGTAGGATTGGCTACTGACTCGGTGACTGAATGTAGCTAGAAATTCAAATTATTGATTGGTTGTCAAGCACGATGCGTGGGCTCGCGT